AAATCGGACATCAAAGGGGACTTCTTTGATTGACTAAACAAACTTTGCATTCCCTCCGCCTTCCACCTAGAAAAAGACCATTAAAAACTAGTTCAAGAAGTGAATATTTAAGGATAGATTTTTAACCGTACTCTTTAACTCAGGATAATTAAAAGTTATTCTGCTCAAGGGTGTTTTGGAAATGCAGTACATAAAAAGCTCATATTTGTATACGAGTACTTGTGTTTAAAATGCTATAATCAAAACTGTAGCTCTTTATATTTTTTTTTTTTTACTTTTAACGTGTTTTTTTTTCACAAACATTCTTTTCCAAGCTTTTAAATGTGAAGATTTTTTTTCTTCAAATTATATATCAAGAATCAATCATTGAAACTGTGTATATTACTAAAATTTTTGAGTTATACAAAAGTAGACATGATGTTGTCGTAATTTTAACCAATCTTATTTTTTTCTGTAATCAGATGTGACAATATATATATATATATATATATATATATATATATATATATATATATATATATATATATATATATATATATATATATATATATATATATATATATATATATATATATATATCCTTTGACACGTTGATACACACATTCCTCAAACATACACTTGTATTATTAGGTCTTCCGTTTTCAACGGAAGACCTATAGTGATTCTACTGTTTCTTCTTCTTCTTCTTCTTATTATTTTTCATTTTTATTTTTTTGACCTTTTCAAATCGCGATATCTCAAAAACTACCCATTCATTTTCAGCCAAATTTTCAGGAATGATGTGTTATCTAAAGCCATTTTAAATTATTGAAAAAGTTCGGAAAAAGTTACTTCCGGTCGGGAATTATTACGATTTTTCACTTTTTCCACTAAAAATCTAGTCCGTGAATGTTCTCAGAAACTGTTAAAGGTAGGAGACTGAAACTTTCAGGTATGATAGAATTTGGTTTGTAAATGTGTGATGGATACATTTCGTGTGTCGTCGTCACTTCCGGTCGTCACAGGAAGTGATTTAAAAAGGGTAATTTTTTGAACTTTTTTGTTTTTCATTATTTTTTTATGATGATGATAGGCTAAATAAAGAGTCTTACAAGAATGCTAAATATATGTAGTTTGTTTAAAAATTGATTAACCCATACTCTAAATATTTATCATTTTTCAATTTTAAGCGATGATGTTTGATGTCGTAATGGTTAGCATGTTGAATTTTCACGTGGGCGATCGGGATTCAATGCAAAGAATGTCCGAATTTTTTTCTCACTTTTTGGGGCTCAAATATAAGATTTTATCTTTAAAGGGGGAGGGGGGCTGTGTCGTTCGACGTCAGAGCAGCAGTGTTTGACGGCACAATATCAGCGTGTCTTTTTACTCTCTCATAAAGAGTTTGCAGTTGAAATTTGCACTAATTAATGTGCATAGATGCAATTGTGATATGACAAAACGAGGAAAACATGTTGGTACAAATGTATATGTAGCTAGATACCTATGCAATTGTATCATAAATTGGAGAGTTGCCGAATTGTATTTTGAAAGTAGAATTTGTTACTTTCTCATGTTGATTGAATAACATATAGCAATTTCAAATGAGAGAAAAATAAACTTCAATGATATTTTTCTTTGATTTTAGTTGGGCAATATTCCTTTATAGAATCAAGTTACTGAACATAATAGGTATCAGATTCCTTGAGCGTCATATGGCGAGACGTGTTTTGTTGCGAAACATTCCAGACTTTTCATTAATGTGTTACTAATTGGAATAATCCACTTTGGGGGTAAAGAGGAATATAAAATGTGTAAGAAAACTTAGCGCTGCATTTATGTTACTTGTCCGTATACGGTATGTTATATTTACAGTGTAATAAATATACATTCTTAGGCTAGAAAATCAGGCTATAGCAACATATTTTTTTTAAAAATTTCATTGAAGCTATCACATACACTTATTCAATTGAAGACACATTCCAAAGAAAAGGCGCGAAGATTTACTCGTGACATTTGGCGCGAAATAATTATCTTGACCCGCCTTTCACAAATGGTCTGATGCAGTAGTGTAGAAGTACAGAACAAGATTACACGGACATGAGTATTTGGAATTGCATAAAATAGAAAGTTGAATGCATAAAGAATAAAGGAAGTAAACACAATAGTTTTTTTAGTTTTTATCAGTAACAGATTATTTTCTCTGCTATCAGTTATTGTTAAAACTCAACAAATCCGATGTAAATCTACTAGTACTTGCACAAAATTTAGCTGGCTAGTTTTCATCCTATACTTCCACACTATAAGAAAAAATGATTAACCTACCTGACACTCGTTACTTCAGGGGATGAGTGCAAGGTAAACATCGGTGATGGCTGGTACATTGCGCTAATGTAGTGGTTTCAGTATTAAAGAACAAGGTTCACTAAGGGCCTTTTTTGGCCCTGTGAATTTCAGAAAAACTGAAACTGCTTGGTTTTAGTTGACAATGCATTAAATATCATTTAGACCTTTGATGACTGCGTATCTATCAAAAATGACGTAATTTTCTGGCTAGCCAATGCATTATGACGTCATGAAATGCGTCATTTTCCTCATATCGTGAAAAATTCTACAAAACAGCCAATTTTTAAAGCTATTTTTCGATATTTAATATAGAGCGTAACCTCTGATCTTAAATATGCAACTATAAAATGATAGAACTATTTCTGAGGATTACAAAACCTGTTTTATTTTTTAGATCAGAAGGTGCGCACATATCATAAATTTGAAAAATTCCATTTTGGTTCCAAGTTACGGACAATTTCCAAATTTTAAAATGAAACTTCGTCGCCCCTTGTTTTCAAGAATGGCTAAAGATATGAACTGGGGACTTATTGGAGAGCATAGAACGTGACTTCTAAATTTGCAGAATCGCCTTTTCGTTCTTCGTCGGCACTTCCGGTCGTTTACGGAAGTGATCAAAGAAAATCGTAAAATTTCAACTTTCTTTTTTTAAATCAATACTTACATAACATTATTGCATCTCTTTTGTAGTTTCGAAATATGTTGGTCCCACCGGAAACAAAAACGTCAACTTCCGGTTATAAGGGAAAAACTACATAATTAGAATATGTTTCTTTCCCATTAATATCCTTTGTAGATAAAGTATTTGAAATGAATTTTGAATATATTATTTAGACTGCAAATATCTAGAGTAACGTCAAATATCTTTGTAAAATTCACTTATGGTCGCGTGTTTTCTCAAAATGAGAAGTTGTCTGAGCAAGATCTCGGAAACGGTGAGAGATTAAGACACCAAACTTATATGAGCAACAGACCTTAAGATGTAGGCAAAACCATTTGGGTTCAGAGCGTCAGCCCTCACTTCCGGTCGTCACAGGAAGTGATCAAAGAAAGCGAAAATTTCAACTTTTCTTTTTTTAATTAAAAATTGCATCACTTTATTACATCTTTTTCGCAGATTCGAAAGATGTTGGTCCCACCGGAAACAAAAACGACAACTTCCGGATATGAGAAAAACTAAATAATTTGAGTATTTTACTTTCCCATCAATATTATTTTCTGGATAAAGTTTTTGAAATGAATTTTAAATATGTTATTCAGACTGCAAATGTCTAGAGTAATCTTAAATATCTTTCAAAAATTCACTTCCGGTCGCATGTTTTCCTGTCCTCAAAATGTGAAGTTGTCTGAGAGAGATCTCAAAACCAGGTAAAAGATTAAAACACTTAACTTTTATGAGTAATTGACATTGAGGAGTAGGCAAAACCATTTGGGTTAAACGCGTCAGTCGTCACTTCCGCTTGTCACAATAACTTTTCTTTTTTAAATTAATGCTTGCATCACTTTATTGCATCTTTTTCGCTGTTTTGAAATATGTTAGATTCCACCGGAAACAAAAACGTCAACTTTTTGTTTTAGGAGACAAACTACTTTATTTTGATATTTAACTTTCCATAAATATTGCTCATCGATAAAGTACTTGAAATGACTCTTTGTATGTTGTTTATAGTGCAAATGTTTAGAGAAAAGTCAGAGATTTTTATAAAATTCACTTCCGGTCTCCTGTTTACCTGTCCTCAAAATTGGAATTTGATCTCACAATATTGCTCGGCAACAGTAAATGACTGAAGTCTAAAACTTTCAGGAGTGATGGTCAGTCATCAGTTTATTTGAATCTTGAGAAAATCTTCTATCGCCGTTACTTCCGGTCATGACCGGAAGTGATGTAAAAAAGTGAATGGTTAATGGTTAGCACGTTGGATTTTCACGCTGACGACCAGGGTTAAATCCCCAGAGTGTCTGAATTTCTTTTATCTCTTTTTCAGCTTGAATTTTCGTTTTTAGTTTCAGAATCGGATGGAAGACCTCTCATTGCTCGCAATGAGTTTCTAGTTGTATTTATTATCAAGAGAAGGTAAATGACGTCATATGACAATGTACCTGTAATGACAAATTGATAAGGCTGAAAAAAAAAAAAAAAAAAAAAAAAAAACATTGGAAGTCCTATTTATATTACATGAAACAATTTCTTTTATTCATTACCTTTAATACCTGACTTTTCTCCAATTTGTATATTTATTTGAACATTTCCGTCATGTAAGCTAAGCCATATATGTTTAGTTTAAAAGAACTATACTTTGAACGACAAAATAAGTTTAAGATCTTGAAAATATCGTAGCAAGTCATATGTATGAAATTTATCCCCCAAAGACGTAAAATTGTTTTAACATTTTGATGGCATAACCCTTATAATCACTTGTATAAACTTTTTAATCAACCTCATTAAAAACTCAAGTAAAAATTCATTAAAGATGGCATTGTAATTGTGCTCCCAGTCGGTAAAATCTTATATCATTCTCAAACACGATTACTAGACTAGTAAATAATTCTTATTGAACAGGTATAAACTGTATGCTGTTTTTAAATTTAACAAGGTTACAAATATTGACAAGACAAATACAAAATACACTAAAAGGGACCTCAACAACACAGATACAAAAAACAGAAAACGTATCTACAAATTGCAAAACAAGTTTATTTTCCAAAAATAAGATTTTACATTAAATTGACTTTGTGCTCAGATATATTGGTTAACATGTTCTGAATGGATAAGGCTGAGAGGCCAGTCTTATTGTTTATTGAATTTGGTTATTTTTTTTTTTCAGACGTAGGGAAAAAGGTCGACATCACTGCATTGGCATCTATATCCACCGCTGTATCCCGCCGTTGTACAGCGAGTGACATCAATGTGACAATTTGCGGTAAGATATCCGATCCCTGTACAATATTTCAAACATTCCATTGCATTGCATTCCGATAAGTCGAAGCAGGGTCCCTCCACAATGGGCACAGAAGTAGTTAAATCGATGCTCATGGCTGCTATTAGAAAAACACCCAAGGAGAATGGCATCAAAGTCGTCATCTGTAGTATAAGGAATAAATACACTATCATTGTGTAGATACTGCATAAAATAAAATTTTCTTACGTAAAAAAATTTTTCCAACTGTAACTTGCGAGGAGTTGTCGTCGCATTCCACAAAATACAGAGATTTTACTTCAAGATATTACTGTCGTTTCATTAGTTTTCATGGGGATTAAATTTTTGTTATAAAGCTAAATAATGCTTGTATGTAAATTTGTGATGAACTACATGTACGAGGGTTGTTAGAAAAGTTCGCGGACACATTGATTTACGGAAAATCTATTGTGTACTGTGAAGTATGACTTATGTCCGATTAAATTCCTATCTTTTGTTTATTAGTATGTAAAAAAAATCAGGTCCATTTCCTAAAATTTTGAAAATTTACAAAAAAATTTATGATGCGGTCATAGAATCACGGAGCAATCGCTTGACTTTAAGTGATGTGACAATCAGATTTCAAACCTGTTAAGTTTTTTCATAGTTCTAAACAGCTTTCATTTCTTTCGAATTTTCTTGTCTTTTTTCTACTTAAAAGTTAAAAATATCTATATCAAGAAATGTTACTTTTCTTCTATAATGTCTTTTGTGCTGTTTCGGATATTAGTGAGATCTTAAAATAATAGTATACGCAGTTAAGAGATCAGGTACGGAAACAGTGCAAAATCCATAGGCGCAATGTCCATGCGATAAGTGGGGTAATGAGGTATCGATAGAGTTGATCATTAAAAATTTCAATCCTTCCATTCTTATAAAGATACTACATTTTGAATACTTTTGTCCTTTCTACTTATAGGCAATTTCCAGCAACATCTAGAAGCATTTTAATTTATTATAGAAATTTTCCTGTCTGCACACATAATTTTTTAGTAGCTCTGTGCTCCATGACGTTCCATGACGTTCCCATTCTTAGCTTTGTTTTTACGCGTTGATTATTTATAAATGGCTATAAAACAGTCATACACCCTCCAATTTGATTCAAAATTTCGGCAAGTAACGTTTCATGGATACTGTAGCGACAGGTAAAATATCATAATTCTTTCTGCGCTACAACTGTGCAATTTTTGATTTTAATAAGTGAAGCATGTTTTATCAAAATAATATAGCTGTACATTTTTAAGGATCACCAGAAAACACCAAATCTTTGTATATTTATTGGAAAATAGGTAAAGTTTTTATCTTGAGAGTTTAACCAGTTCATGGAAATAGCGTGCTCACAATAGAACTTGTCCGCGAACTTTTCTAACAACCCTCGTATATGGTTATATTCCATCGTTGGTAGAATTTGTAATTTATCCATCACCTATTCCATTTTCCTGAACTTGATTATAATTGAAAAGAACGAAAAGAAGTATTCAAAGAAAAAAAAATATGAAACCATGAGTACGAAAAAATATGAATAGTTTCTGTACTCAAACATAAACAGGTTTTGATACTTTATGATAGAAATCAAAATAGGAAGAGAAAGTAAACATTATTGTTTGCTTGCATTTGAAGGAAAACCAAATTTAACAATGATAACTGTACTAGTGAACCACTTACCTTAGATTAATACCTGATTGCTCTACTATACCAGAGAAAAGCTTTATTTGTTTTCAAACTAATCTTACTCGTTTTATATGCTTCAAAATCAAAACAATTAGATTGATTGCATCGAAAAAGAGAACATTTGTTAATGCGTCATTTTTCAATAATGACAGATTTAGCTGTTATAATATGTTGATAACATTTATGTAATCGACGGAGAAAGTACTGAATCACTTTGAAAATCAGAATGAAAAATATGTGTCCTAAAACAATCATTATTATGAATACTGCTTAGTATATCCCATGACGAGTTTGTTTGCAATATGGCATGTTTGTTTACCTAGTAATATTTTTCAACATAAAACGTATTGAACGAAGTTTAAATGTAAACATTTTGTACATGTATACATTTAGATTCATTCGCTCTATTTGTATGTTTGAAGCTGTATAGAATTGTCAGTTATTTAATGCGATAAAAAGCAATAGGACTGCGTTTAAGTGGTTTTTTTTAGTTTTAATATTAATAGAAAATGTAAATTGAAAATTTAGAGAATTTAAAGAAATGGAAAGGCTCCGTACTTGTGCAAAGAAGAAACATTGAATACAAATACAGAAAGATAGAAAGATAGACGAACAACCTCAGTTTTTATTTATTCAGTTTTTGGTATTATATATATATAAAGAAAAAACAAAATAAAGATCACGATTTGTCGACGAGTCACACCCTCTGTAAGCCGTATGTATTGATCAGGTATGTGGACTACCCCATAATCAAGTTAGATATAAAAACAATGATAAAATGATAAAGCTGAGGATAACGAACAGGGACCAATCTCAACAAATCTGCAAACAATAAAAATTTGTGAACGGGGCAAAAAACACGGACCCCCGGATATTCCAGAGGTGGGATCATATGCCTAGGAGGAGTAAGCATCCCCTGTTGAACGATCATACCCACCGTGAGCCCTGCGTATTGGTCAGGTAGACGGAACATGCCCTAGTCAAATTCCGTATCAAAAGTAAAGGCTTAACAATTGGTATGAAACACGTCAACCTAAATACAGACCAATTATAGGTTATATTTGTTAACAAAGCCATAATAACAACTAAAATATTTACAAATGGTATGTATCATGTCAGAGAAAAAACAATCCAACGATACGGAACTTGGCGATAGAAAAGCTGAAGTAATTCCCTTTCTTATAAATTTTATTAATTAGCTAGCCATTATCGTCCATAGTCAATTAAACATCCGAATATGATACTTAATATATAAATAAATATTAAGTTAAAGACCATAATTTTTCTTCTTCGCATGAAGTAAGGTTTGACTAAATTCTTGATAGGATTATAAAAACAGGCCGGCTGCTAAAGGATCACGATTTGTTACAATCGTTATATAATCCAACAAATTGTTGGAAGACCTGGGTACGGGGCCATTGACTTAGATGAGATTTCCTTTGATCTCTGTATCATTTTTTCACTCTTAATTCTTTTCGTACAAAGTGAAACTGAGATCAAAAATCAGCTCATCCAAGTTTAACTGCCCCGGAACCTGGTTTCCAAAGACTTTATAGATATTGTCAAAATATACAATAATAATGTTAGAAATATTTTAATTATTCCCTGTTTATTTGAACGTTAAAATGACTTATAGAAACATAAATCAAAGTTTGCGATTTCTGCACGTATATTTATTACGGAATATCGTTTTAAATTTCTATAAAGACACACTTAAAAGGGGAAAGGGAAATTTTGAAATATTCAATTCTTCGAAGCTGTAGGTAGAATTTACTTCATTTGCTTTGCACTCATAAAATTAGAGAAAACATAAACTAATATTTAGTTTCCAAACATAGATAGATGGATAGATTAGAAATATCTATCTTATGGGTGAAATGCAAGTATGAAATTGGGTTTTCAAATTTGTGAATAAAAGAGTAGAATCAAAACATTTACACAAAGGATTTTTAAAACATAGTTCCACAGTATTATTTATATTTATAACAACTTTTTTTTTCGTTTCCTTCTAACATGTTTGCTTATCAAATTATGAGCTCTCTTATTCTTCAACTTTAAATATCAAAATCAGCCAAAAATGCATTTTTAAAAAATTAAAATATATTATAACTGCGCACTTACATTTGTCTTTAACCTATTTGCTAGATTATGATTTGTTATCACTTCAGGTGTGTATCAATTATAATAACACATTAACATCAACTACCCACCAGATGCCGGAAGTAATAAAAAAGGTGATTTAATCTGATGACGGTCGATGCGTCTTGTATGACACTGTCGTAAGAATTTGTCGCTTTTGTGGATATATTATAAAAGTTCAAGGTCAATTTGTATAGAATTTGCGTAATTGTTAGATATTTTTATTCTTCATCCAGAATGTTCGAGATTAAGTACAGTCTGTAATTGTGAGTGTACTAGTATTTATTTTCACTTTCTGTTTAACATATATTTTAACTTTATTTTGTCACACCAAAAGAAGTCGGGCGATAGACCCATAATTATGTCGTTGAATGTTTTCGCACATTTCTTTGACAATCGTTATGAAACTATACCGAAACTTTAGTTTTACTTTTTCAAAGAAACCTAGTTAACATAAAAACAGACAAAATATGCAAAAATGTTCGATTCTCCCTATTCTCAATTCTAAGTAACTGTAAAACTCATCTTTCAGAAACCTTGAAACATTAATCCTTGTAATGTATCAATGTGATTTCTGCAAAAATGAATTAATAAATAAATCGGTTGCATAAGCTTTTGCCATTGATATAATTTTTTCTTTTGAGAGGCAGAACAATTGCCGTCCTGTGACAATTCTGAAATGTTATTGTTCAGGTGAGTGTTCTTTTTAAATACATGCTTTTTTGCGTATACACTGTATATTGTCATACTTTATATCAATCAAAAGCATTAATATTACACAGATGCGGTCACTTCGAGGTGACAAATTCTATTGCTTGCAACATCACAGTATCTATTAATCTTCTCTCTTATGTTGCAATTTGTTCGACCAAAAACGATTCTGAAATTTGTGGCTATATGTACTTACGTTGATATCTTTAATGTCTATATTTTTGCCTTAGGCTTTGATGAACGAATGTACAATATATTTTGACCTCATTAAGGAATTCATAATAGAATAGGGTGGATTAAAAAAAAAAGACAAACACATGTTTATCAACCCACACTAAAATACAGGCAATGAAAATATATACCGCATAATAGGCCCCCATCTGCTACCACCTGTTGGGTAGAAAGTCTTACACGGGAGATAAATTGTGCATCCCGCTGTGACGATGCTGAAATTATTTTAACAGGTGATTTTAATATTGACCTGGTGAAAGACCCCCCAAGGTACTGGACCTCAGCTTTTGAAGAATATGACTTCTCACAGATAATTAATGTACCCACTAGGATAACAAATGCCTCCTCAACCCTAATTGATCATGTATATACTAACCTACCCGAGAACATATGTGAATCTGTAGTACCGCCAATTGCAGTCTCTGACCACTATCCTATTTGTTTTACGAGAAAATTACATGATTATGTGAGGAAGTATAAACACACAGAGATAACATATAGAGACTTCAAAAAGTTTAATGAAATAAACTTTCTCTCAGACTTGGAAAGGTTAATTTCCAATTTTTAGATTCACTCTCTAATCCAAATTATACATTAAAAAAATTTATTTACTTTTTAATACTTTACTAGACAAACATGCAGAAATAAAAACAAAAAGAGTGAAGTATGATGCAAGACCAAAATGGTTAACCCAAGAAATTCTCGAAGCACAGCACATGCGCAATAACTTCCATAAAAATAAAGACTTTGAAAACTATAGAATATGGCGAAATAAGGTAACATCACTTATCGAAAATGCAAAAATAAATCATTATAAATCAACTATAGAGCAAAACAAAAATCCACGCCAGATGTGGGACGCATTAAATAAATTAGCTTCTACTCCACAAAATTATACTCCGACCGCACTGGCACAAAATGATAATGTTACAGAGGATACACAAGAAATTGTAGGAGTGTTTAATTCTCATTTTTCAAATATCTCTACTAAACTTCTTGAAGGTGTCTAAATACCTGCCAAATATCTCGTTAATATCTCAATTAACAAACAAGTTATGCTAAAAAATGATGCTAAAATTGTAAGGAGTGCAACACCTTTATGTGACATTTTGAAATTACAATATTTTTTGGATATCTGTGAAATAAATAATAAAGCTTTATGTTAAGAATAAAGACTTTGCTAATAATATTCAACGTCTTGAGCTTTAAATGTGGACTGTAGTAACTTTTGTTTAATCAAGTTGTGGTCATGGCTGATGTTTAAAAAAATATTATATCATGTCAGGAGTGCAACAGAAAAAATTGTAGTGTTGCCAAAATACAACAATGGTAAAATTCTGAAACAAAAATTAAGACCAAAAATAAAATATATATATATATATATATTACAGCCATAGAACACACAAATTCATAAAGTGTTGGCAGCATCAAGTGGTAATGAAATTGTGCAATATTTATAGTCCAATACTTCATAGCTAAAACAGATGAAAGTATTTAGAATTCGCATTTTATCTGGAATTTTTTTTCCTATTTATGCCATTATATGATTTTCTGATTTTTATTTTGGAAAATAAAGACATAAAGAGCATTTTTACCAAATAGATTAATTTATCAATTACAGGATTTGTCTTTGCTTCAGATCTATATTTCTATGGTAGGACGAAATCACTTCTATTCATGCTCATAAGTATTCATTAATTAATAATGATTTTTTTGTATAATTTAATACTAAATTATTGACAGTTGTGTTATTAAATCCTTCTTTTTTTCAATTTTATCGATTCAGATGTGTTTTTATCTTTTTGTGATTTTTTTTAATGAATGTTAAAAATAAACACACTAAAAATTGTCATAAATTTCAAGTAATTCCTCCTTAACTTCACTGAAGCAACAGAACAAGTTCTTATGCAATTTTCACATCATAATTCTACTTTAAAGGCCCCGAAGC